TTACACCTTCCCCATATGAGGGACTCATCCCCTTGAACTGTGAACCGGAACCAGTCCTCCTTTAATGGCCCAGGACTAGGTCTCTGATATGCAAAAGGAGCCACGCAGAGGCAGACAGACCTCCAGCTGGCACTTCAGGGGAGGTGTCACCACCTTTCTGCTTTGTGCTGGCCCAGGACTCGCAAGGAGGCCAACCACCATTGATGGCCCCAAGCAGCCTGTCCTATCCCATGCAGGTGTTCTGTAGATTCAAACCATCTCCCAGTGCCACCCTTGGTTCCCATGAGCCAAGCCAGTCTTCCCAGCCCAGAAGCCATTTGCGCTGACTCTGTCCTGCTTTCAGGATCCCACAGTTTCCTGACCCCCACCGGCCTCAGCACCCCAGAACACCAAGTGTCCCACCCACTGTTTAAGAGAGCCGAGGAGTAAAGCTCACCAGGATCATCCCACGGGCCGGATAGGCGTGTGTGTGGACCCCAGAGCAGTGTTGGTTTGGGCAGACAGAAGCAGTGAGCTCAGCCAACCGCACAGCCAGAGCCCAGTGAGGTAAGCCTGGACGGGAGGAAGGAAAATTTTCCATTCTGGTTCAGTCATGACTAAAGCTGTCAGGAGTCAGTACAGTAAATATGAATGTGAACTTCTTTGCATAAAACATCTTTGCAAATCTGGGCTTTCCGCTGCTCCATATGTTCCTGCCTCGGCTTTCACACGGCTCTGACAGTTGTAACCACAGGGAAAAAAAACGATCCGAGGCATGCTCGGTGTATTTTGTTCGCTTATTTAACAAACATTCAATAGTACTTATTTATGCCTGGCACTGTTTTTAGAATGTTATGCATAACCATGACACAGCGCTGTTTATAATTTATTTATTCATTCATTCAGTGGAAATAAATTGGATATCTTTATGAAGCCACAATGTGCCTGGAATAAAAAGGCATGGGATGGAGCTGTTCTTTTGCTAGTGAGAGATACAGAGACACGCATGAATGGCAGCAGTTCTAGAAAACGTGGAGATAAAGGCGGGCACCACAGAGGTCATTTGCCCCTGGGAGGAGGTGGGGTCATCTGACTTAACCCCACGTGTAATGTCTGTCGCATTAAAATGTGAGCAGAGGCCTGTAAAGTGAGATGAGAGCCACACGGCAGGAACAGCCTTTGTGCACCATGGTGGAAATGCCAGTCCCACCTTCCAAGCAGTAGCAAGCCACGTTTTCCGATTCTTAAGCATGTATGTGGGAATCAGGAGTCTGCTGGATTTTGCTGTCGTGAAGCATCTGAGACTGAACAGCTTCAGAAGCACAGATTTAGGAGCTAAAGACATGGATTGGCAATTAAGAGCATGTACTGCTCTTGCAGGGGACCGGAATTCAGTTCCCAGCACCCCTATCTGCTGGCTCACAACCCCCTGTAACTCCAGTTGCAGGGGAATTATCACCCTCTTCTGGTCTCTGTCAGTACTGCATCCGTGGGCACAATCCACACTTCATCTTCCCACCACATACAAATAATTAAAAGTAATAAAAAACTGAAAAACAAGGGCCAAAGAGATGGCTCAGCAGTTAAGAGCCCTGGTCGCTCTTGCAGAGGACCTAAGCTCAGTTCCCAGCACCCACATAAGGTTCACAACTGCCTGTAACTCCAGTTCCAGGGGTCTGATACCCTGTTCTGACTCCCATGGGCATTTGGCAGGCGTGTGGTACACATACACACAGGCAGGCGAAATATAAACATAAAATAAATACATCTTAAAAATAGTTTAAAAAATAAAGCTTTAAAAACCTAAATGAAAAACTTTAAGAACCAACGAGTTTAATTTCTTTCATGTGTGAGTCTAGAAGGCAAGATCAAGGGACAAGTTCTGTTTCTGGTATCTTCTTGGCTTGGAATGACCCTAATGGGTCCAACGATGGTATTTCTTTTTCTTGCCTGCCCCAAACTCCCTGGAGTCTCTTACGGGTACCAGTTGTCACAATTGCTTGTCTGATGCTTGATAAAATACTCTGCCGAGAGCAACCTAAAGGAGAGAGGGCTTGTTTAGTTTCAATCCCAGTCTGTCACCAGCTGCTTCAAGCTCTGGCTGCTCTGGCTTCTCTGCCCTGATGGATGGAACTGTGAAGCCACATCCAGAGAAACACTGAAGAGCAAGGGGCTGAGAAGGAAGTCAGAAAATACCCGAAACTTGCAGGTGCCACATTCAGCAGGCAGAGGTAGCCAATGGGTTGGAGGACTGTGGTGGGGTGGCAGTGGAGGAGGGCCAGGGTGGGGAGGGATGAAAGGCAGTCTCGGATGCCTTCAGCATTCTGGAGAGAGGGATGGATGTACCCCATAGGATGATGGGCACATCTCATAGGATGATGGATACAGGAATGAGCACATTCAGTAGGAGGAAGAGGTTCCCTGGAGACACCGGTGGAAAGCCTTGTGGAGAGGCTGGATGAAGTTGGGTAGACTGTCTGAGAGCCTGGCAAGAGTCTGGGCTGTACCTGGATATATAGGGATCATCAGCTTTAGGGGCCACCAGAGCCAAAGGTTTGAACAACGCCATCCATGACAGAGGAAGCTGCCAAGGACAGAACCCTGAGACTCAGGACAAACAATTGGCCTGAGATGAGAGAAAACAACCAGGGATAGACAAGAGGTGGCGCTGTCTTGTGATGACTTTGGGACGCAGTGTGTGGGCTGTCAGCCGTTGAACTCAGAGAAGTCCCCTGATGGGGGACGTTTGCTATGGGCTAGACACTGTTTAGAGTGCTTTGCCTCCAACCCCCACAGTTTGCATGTGAAGCAGCTGGAACACACAGGGTTGATCCCAGTGTGCTCAGTGTCCAGGGAGCTCCTTGAACCTGAGCCCTTGGCTGTATTCCTGCCCCTCCATTCCCTAGTCTCAAATGGCACCAGATTTTAGAGGTGAGACCGTCTAAAGACCTAAGGGTTTGAGAAACTGATTCTGGTTGACACAGCTAATGGGTTCCCAAGCCAGACATTAAATTCTAACCAAGCACACGGACTACCCCACAACTTCTCCAGGAGTTAAGTGGGGAGGGAAGGGCAAGGACAGGGCTGGCTGGACACATCGGAGCAGGAAATGTCTGCCGGCTTTGGCAATATGGAGGCCACTGATATTTTATTAGGGTCAGTTTTAATGGTGCCCTGGGGTGAGATGGCAGAGAAGGAATTTAGACAACTCTTTGGGTGAGTTTGACTTAGGGAAAAATAGCTAATACGGGAGGCGAGATGAAAGAATAAAAACCATTTGATGTAAGAAAGAAGACAACAGATATTTGTATTCTCTCTCTCTCTCTCTCTCTCTCTCTCTCTCTCTGTTTGTGTCTCATGTGCGTGTGTGTTCCTGTGGATATGTGCACACATACAGGAGGGTTTTTAGCACAGCTGTGCACCTGTGTACGTATGTGGAGGTCCCAGGTCAGTGCCGGGTGACTTTCTCAATCACTCTCTCCCTGATTTTTATGAGACAGGATCTCTCAGTGAACCCGGAGCTCATCAATTCAGCAGGGTTGCCTAGCCAGTGAGCGCCACGCATCTACTCGTCTTCCACCACCTCAGGTCACAGACGTGTGCCCCTGTGTCGGGCCCAGCTTCTATGTGGGTGCTGGGGATCTGAACCCAGAGCCTCCCTCTTGTGTGTCAGGCACTTTGCTAAGCATCTCATCAGCCCCAGATCCTTGGGCTCTGACAGGAAAGTCTAGGAGTGAACGCAGCGGTAGTGTGAACTGGTCTGTGAGAGTTTGTTTGAGTTAAGCTCTCTGTATCACTCAAGGCTGTCTCAGAACTGATAAGATGAATCTCTGGGACAAAGGGGATGCATTAGATTGGCTATTAGGATATAGCTGGAGTCATGCAAAAAAGCGTTCTGATGTGTTCTGGATTCTACAGGTATTGTACTCTTACACACAGGCAAACATTCATACACAAAATAAACAATCACTTAAAATCCTCAAGAAACTAAAGAATAAATGAAATATTGCATAAAAGTTTTTGTTTGATTCAATTAAATCCAGGCACTATGGAGATAAATTGAATATAGTCTCTGAATTCTACTTGCCTTTTAGGTTCTATGGCCAGGTGTCCTTAGTGTTGCCAGGAGTCTCCTGCCCGCTCAGGCACGTTTCCTGAGAGCAGAGACCTTCCATCGGTCAATGTTAACTGTTGGGAAACTTGCCTGCTCCTCCGTTAGACTACAAGTTTGTGGTTCTTTACCCCTCTTCATTTAATTAAATTGAAAGGGACAACAGTCTTTTCATCCCTTAGGAAACTTGTGAGCACATAGCTAGAGCACCCAAATATCTATAAACTGATGATCAGATTCTCAGTCCACGAAGGAGGCCAGCTGGGGATCTTCCGGCTTGAATCCAAGCACATAACCACCCAAGGGCCCCGGGGGCAGCAGAAGCAAGAGAATCAAGAAATACAGTGCACAAGGGGATGCAGAAAGCCTCGTGGGAAAGTGGCAGGCGGCTCATGGAATGATGCTGGGTGGGTGGGAACCCCCGCCAGGAAGGGCCAAGAGAAGGAAATGCCAGGTCATCTAGGTGGAGAGGGAGGAAGCTGAAGATTTAGACTGCGCATGCGGTGGGGGAATCTAGATGCACATGGAACACCCAGCCTGAGATCTGACAGACCCTGGGCCCCACCCAGGTGGAGAGGTGGGTCAGGGACCCTCCCTGGGAGCAGTGGTACCTGAGGGATGGATGGGCGCTGAGCCAGGCCTGGGCATCTGTCGTGGAGAAGATGCTGCACTAGGCAGTGTGCACTGGCAGGGAGGGCCCCACGCGGGGGCTGAGTGTCTGACCCCAGTGGGATGACTAAGTATGTCTTGGCTGTGAGCAGGCGAGGTGGGAGAGCGCCAAGTTATGAAACGCTGATTGCTCTGCTGGAGTGGAGCATCTGGGGTCCTGCCTGGGGGCCGGAGGGGCGTGCCCGGCGCTTGATAAAAAGGCTGCACAGCGCGGGGACTGCTTTCTCGGTGCCCTGCCGGCAGCACTCCTCGACGGCGGGCAGCCTTAAGGGTGACAGGAGGGCTCTGGAGCGACTGCTGTGTGCAGTAGTTAATCCTCCTACTTGGCGATCCTCAGGGTTAGAAGGGGACCGAGCCACAGCCTGGGTATGGCCACCGCAGCGTGTGAGCCTGTGGCTAGACCTAGCCTGACCTCCATTTCTTCCGGGGAGCTCCGCAGCCTGTGGACCTGCGACTGTGAACTGGCCCTGCTGCCCCTGTCGCAGTTGCTCCGCCTACAGCCTGGTGCCTTCCAGCTGCGTGGCGAGCAGCTCTTGGTGCCCGGGCCTGGGGAGCCCACGGACGCCCGAGGGGGCTTCAATGTCTTCGGGGACGGCCTAGTGAACTTCGACGGGCAGGTCTACCGCCTCAGCAGCTACATCAAGAGGTGGGTGGCCACGCCGTTCGCCCTAGCCTGTAGCTCTGTCCCTGCAAATCTTCTACCTGGCTGCTGTCCTCTTTCCCGAAGACCTGGCCAACCTACCTGCCGTCCATAGCCGAACCTTTTTTTTTCTGAAGCAGCTGAGAAGGGTGTCTGTCTTGGAGGGTGCTTTTCTTGTAACAGCTAAGAAGGGTGTCTTGCTGACAGTGTACGGAGCACACTCAGCCCCACCCAACACTCCAGCTGGTGACTGCTTTTTCCATTATGCCCATTAAATGGGTCAGATGAGCTCAGCCCGCAGGCTCATCCCTCAGGGGAGGTCTAGGATGCAGATCCTCACACCTAGCTGTAGTTGTGACCACTAATAACTTTAATCGGCAGGAACGTGCAAAAAGGTTATTTTCTTGGGGGTAATTGCTCTCTTGGTGTTTCTTACACCGAGCAACCCTAGTGGAGAAGAAAAGCTCCCAGAAGCTCAGTCCAGGGCCGTTATTGACTCTTGGGTAACTAGCCAGCTTGGGCAGAAATAAGCACAGAGTGTACCTGCTGGGTTTGCTGCAGAACACTGAGAGAGCCCATCCAATGGTTCTCAGGAACTGTTGTGGCCAAAAGAATAAACACCCGGTGATAGACTTGAAGGATGTGGAAACGGGCTTTGATCTCAGTGGCAGGAGGTAGGGCCATCTATGATGGATTCCACTTGGCCGGGTTGCCCTGGAAGACGAAGGTACACAGCCCTTATACATGTTTAGTAGGGTGTTGAGTGTCCCAGAACCAACTGGGTCTGAGTGGTGCAGCCCGGGAAACGGTGATGTGTACTCTGTGGAGAGGGTGGAGCCGAAGGGCCAAGCAAATGAGACCTTGACCAGTGCATTCTTCCCACAGCAGGAAAGACCCTCAGGATGGCGTGCGTTTTGAATGCCTGAGAAAACGTTCCCTACCAAGACTTTCTCCTTGGTAGGGAAATAGAAATGCCAGTTTGTAAGAGAAAGAGGGGGGCGTTCAGTTAGAAAGCAGGTTTAGGCTGGGGAGACCGCTCTGCTCCTGAAGTGAGGGGACTTGAGTTCCGATTCCCAGCCCTTGTGTGAAAATGTCCATGTAACGTGAACCCCAGTGCTCAGGGGTGTGAAGACAGAACAGTTACTGGGGCTTGCTGACCTCCACCCTGTCCCTAAACTGACAAGTTCCTGGTTTAGTGAGAGAACCTGTTTGAAACTAATAAGGTGGACACGCATGCATTGGTGCACCTCATGCGCTCAGACACGTACACACACACACATATGCATATACACATGCACACACATGCATACATACAATTACAATGTTCCCAGTGACCTGAAGCCAAGGTAAGGCACTTGCATCAATCAGCCACCCCCCCCCCATCTTAGTCTATAATACTGGAAACTTCAGAATAGATTTGAGGCTTGTCATTAACTTTTTTCAGGGTGCATTTTCTACACCCTGGCTTCCCTTCACATACACCATTGTGGGAGGGCGTTCACACCTCAGAGACACAAAGTCCACTGAGTTGTTTCTCCATTGAAGAGTGGAATTTGCAGCATGTTTTCTTGTAGGGGGCATGCATGGTGGGAGCTTTTCTAACTGTGCGGGCAGTCTGAAGAGGGCTGGGAGCGAGCCAGTCTGACTAGAGCGTGTTTTCTAGATGGAAGACTGGGCTCAGGACAGCAGCCGGGAGGTGGGAGCATCCCGAACTTAACCTTTTCAAGATTCTTTTGCTCCGGTTGGTAGGATGGACCCAGTCGTCATTGACCCTGACGATAGCGTTACCTGTGGCACAGGTCTCGCCTGGATGGTTCCAGATTCTTGGAATTTAATGAAAAGAAATAATTGCAAAGTAACAGGGAAGTTTTATTTTTCCAAGAGAATTCTCTTTTTTTTTATTATTTTAAAATTATGTGTAGGTGTATCTGAGTGTGCGTGTGGATGCGGGTGAAGCCCAGGGTCAGCAGATCCCCTGGGGCTGGAGTACAGGCTTGTGATGAGCCATCTCTCCAGCCACAGGACGACTTTAATCAAACAAAGCAGTAGTACAGATTAGTCAGGAATATACAATTAAGAGTGACAGTGGACCCCTTGAATGAAGACATTCAAGGCCCGTATTGCCCGAGGCTTCTTTCTATGGTGGAAAGGAAAGTGGAGCTGGTTTCCTTTTCTTTTCCTTTTTTAAGATTATTTTTATTGTGTGAACATTTTGCATGCTTGTATGTATGTTTGTTGTGTGTGTGTCTTGTCCCTGTGGAGACCAGAAGAGAACAGAGGAGCCGGTTTCTGAGGGATGTAGTTTGGGTGGGTCTGTTTTGATTGATGGGCGAGAATTATGTAAGCTGTTGCTCACTACACCCGCCCCTTTCCGTGTTGCGTCTGATTTTAATCATCCGCACTGATAATACACGGGCATAAGATGGTAATTAGAGGATTCTATAGTTCATCAGCGAGCACAGCTTGTCTCTTTGTGAATGTACTCAAAGCTGGTTCAGGTCGGATTGTCCCCCCCCCCCATGGCCTGATGAGTGTGTAATTAAATAGAATTTAAGTTCGATGGTTCTTAAATGGGGGACAAAGTTATTCCACTGTTCCCAGTGGGAGCTGTGCCTCGATGCAGGTGGGTGTTCTAGGTTGCTAACAGGTTGCTAGGTGCATTGCTCTGGTGTGTGTGTGTACGTGTGTGTGTGTGTGTGTGTGTGTGTGTGTGCAGTTTGTAGGTAAGGATTGCAAGTGGCTAAGTGCAGTATTAGAAGAGAGTGTGTGCATAGCCCCAACCAAGTGGATTCAGGATGTCTGTCTCCATAGCATATACTACTTCTGTCAATATATACACCAAAGCCATGTCTTCTCCTTGTGTGTGTATATATATATATATATATATATATATATATATATGCATTTATAACATATTTATCTATGTATGCATATATAATCTATCTATTTATCTAAAATAGCCTCCAATTTGATGTTATTGCTACTGTGGCATAGGGTCCACCGATTTTGAGTGTTGTTGGCATAACACTCCAGTTGGATTTTCTCAAAGCTGGGCAATTGGGGGAGGCGAACAGCCTGGTTTCAATGTGTCTGGCGTCTGCAGAGTCTGTCTGTCCACAATAGGAACTTGACATTTGTTGTAACAAGCTGAGGCCTAGCCGTGATGGACTTCAGCGAGCTTTCATCTTTTTTTTGCAGCCACCGCATTCCTGCCTTAGGTGCGGGATGGCATCTAACCAAGAACAGCGGCCAAGGCGGTTAGATTGAGAAAGGCAGGGGCAGGATCTTCAGCGCTTTGCACCACTGACCTTTGAGAATCTTACACAGACCTTCCCAGAAATGCAGATGCAGTGCCAGTGTCCCTGGCCAACTCGGATGCTCCAAGACGTGTTGCTAAGAATCCTTGGCCAACTCGGATGCTCCAAGACGTGTGGCTAGAAATCCTTGCTCTACTAATTACTTAGGTTTTTAGCCCCCGCGATGAGCATTTTGTGTGAGGAATAGTCCATAGTGTAATCAAGATGTAAGGCCTCAAAGGCGTGTTCTCTTCTTTTCCTGGGCTACTTTCCCAAGAAACTTCAAAGATTGCCCTTGGCACCCAAACGAGCCCCTCACTGAAGGCATCTCTCCTCCTTCCTCGGGTTCTTTCTTCTGATACTTAACATTTTTCTCAACACAACACTAAGTAAATTATAGAAGGCAAGCCTTTCCTGGTTGCTTAGTGACGGCCATAAAGATCCTCTGAAAACCTGCTTTAAAATATTTGTTTTAATTTGTGGAGTTAGTGAGCAAATCTCTACCATCAACATCATCATCATTCAAGATTTCTGTCCATGTCATATCTACAGCCTGCTCAGGACACTACCCGTATGTAATGGTTACCAAGAGGCTTGAAAGACAAACTCACATTGATCGTTGTGCATGCACACACACATACACAGACACATATACGACATACATACACACACAGAGAGACACATACACAGATATACACAGACACATATAGACACACAGAGAGACACATACACACACACACACACACACACACACACACACACACAGACGCACATAACATCTTTCCCCTAGGATGCAGCCTATTACTGACATGCATTGGCAATGTCTGGCAAACATGACCTCTGCACTGTGCACTGCTCTCCTGGCATGAAAGAGGCTTCTGGGTAATCTAAATAAATAAAAGAAGAAGTGTGACTGCTAATGTTGACTTGAGTCCCCAGAAGGGCGCAAAGTATTTTACCAGTGTCATCGTGTGAAATCGCACAACGTGGACCCTATTGCTGTTGTTTATTTTTTTATGAAGGAAAAATAAAGGTAATGAACCCATGGAAGACACTGGCATCGGCTGAGCTGCGGTTTCTAAGCAGGGCTGCCGGACTATGCCTGTGAGTTCAGGAGACTGCCACAAGCAAGAAGCAGTCTGCCTTCCAGTGGAGTGGCGGCTTCTCACACTTCCGGAGGCCCCAGATAAATAACTGGGCTTCCCTCAGTTGTCCACACTGAGTATAAATCAGTCTGATGAAGGAACTAAGGGTGGGATTTTTTTAAGGAAGAAGATCTGGCCTTACCCATAGCCGACCAACTGGGAGATAAGCAACCCTCATCTGTCGGGGCACCCTGTGGGGTAGAAACGCTTGGGAATAGTGGGTAAAGACGAGTAGGTCTTGGCTGTCCAAGACTCATCTCCATCTCACAGTGAGAAGTGACAGCCCTCTGTCAGCTCTGGCAGGGCCACAGTTCCGGGTGTCAGCGTGGAGGTCTCTACTCGGCCAGCTTGGGCCCTGTCCTTTGACCTCCTGCTCTCCCTCCCATCTCAGATGTAGAAACTGACTTGTGCGGCGTCGTTCCCCAGGAGACAGCGTGATACTGGTGAGGTGACACCCGTCCGTCTGCACCCTGAGCAGTGAGTAGGGTGAGAGCCAGCCTCGAGGAAGTGTATGTGAGCCCTAGAGGCAAGCCCTGCACTGTGTCTGGGGAGGGACCCTGGGACATTTCCTTACTCTTTGTAAAGTAAGTTTCCTCATCTTTCAAATGAGAATAACAATCACCTTATAATATGGGCTTAGTGAAGACAGGACTTTCATTCCCAGCACCCACATCAGATGGCTCTCCACTGCCTCCAACTCCTGCTCCAGGGTACCAGATGCCCCCTTCTGGCCTCTGTGGGAACTGCATCCACATTCACAAACCCATCCACAGAAACATGTATGTATATATATATATATATATATATATATATATATATATATATATATAATGAAAAAAAACTCTTAAAAATAATCACCTCAGTATTAGAATTAGACTTGGCGAAGTCCCGAAGGAACAAATAGTAGCACATATTGATCCCTTGCCAGCCATTAGTTTCTGTATCATTACTGAGCCTCATATGGGAGCCCAAAAGCTTCATGCGAACCGTATTTGATCTGGTCACCCTCTCATGGGAAGCTTGCCTGTTTGTTGGTGATGGAAATGAGTTTTAGGAAAAGTTAAACAGCCTCAGAGATCACAGCCCAGGCACTCCAAGGCTTCCTGGCTTGGCTCCCCCAGAGCTTCGCTCTGGTTTTAAGCTATGCTGTCTTCTTAGTAGCAGCAACCCCCCCATCATTGTTAAATGACTGCCTGCCTTCTGCCTTCAACAGCTGCGCCTCCTGTCAGCTACAGCAGCCCTCTTGCTCCTTGCCTATGTGTATTTGGCAGTCTCTCACCCGTACCTACCTTTGCTTTCCCCTGATGTCTCCGTGTGTGAATGATGGACCAACTTTTAAGTGGTGGGATGCCCTCTTCCGTTGGTGTTTCTCAAACTGTTGGCAACTTAACATGCAAGTTTCCTGAGGTTCTCGATGAAAACACAGGTTCTGGGTGGATGGAATCAGGCAGGGACTTGAGTTCTGCGCTTGGATGAATTCTCAGGCAGGCTGATGCAGGGGGTCCAAGGACCACACGCTGAGCAAGAAGGACTTCTACCACTACCATTGCACATTGAAATAATGGGTTTTCCCTGGCTCTCTAATGTACCACGTGACTCCTGCTCGTTTTTTGTGCTAGCAGACCCTCCTCACAGTGGGTCACAGAGAGCTATGACTGACGGTCAAGGTTAGATGTGGCTTGGTTCTGGAATGGAGTTCACACATCACTGAGCTTGGACTTGAATTCCATCTTATTTTGAGACATGGCTTTCTCTGACATTGTCCTGCCCTCAGATCTTTGCCCTGAGGTCAGGCTTAGAAAGTTATAGTCTAAAAGTAATTTGGGGACAGTGTAAAAGGAAGACATGATCATTAGAAGGACCTGTTATCTTAAAGTAACCTTAAAGCTGTTTACATTTTGCCACCCCCTATGCTAACTTTAGCAAACATAATATTCAGGGCACGGAGGTGATATTTGCATTACTAATTCAGAAGTGTTCGTGATTAAACATGGAATAACCGGTCCCTGGTGCCAGCTAGTAAGACATCCTGAATTAAAAGCAATAACTAAATGTCAGGCAGACACGGAAACACCTGTGGAATGGCGAGACCCTCTGATCTTTTCGTTTTGTAATGATTTTTATGTTCAAATTTTACAATCCTAAATTTCAAATAAGCACCCACATTTACTTATCTCACTGGAATTTTGACACATTAGACAGAAAGCCCATGACTGGGAACTGGGAATGGGATTAATGAGATAGAGTGGCCGCCTTTCACTTCGGTGACTTACGTGGTTACTAAACTGAAAGCTTCAGAAGTCAATACATCGTACTTTTTAAATCGTGCACCATTGTGAGCTGCCCGATGCAATCTTTTGTGTCATTCCTCCCCACCCCAGCACGTGGCTTATCCCTTTTTCCTGAGTGCCCAGGCTGTAATATGCTCCCCACCTGCCATCACTTAGACGTCTAGCTTCTCAGCTCCGCTGTCTGGGTACTGCAGATTGCAGCACTGTGTGCGGACACGGTGCCGTCCAGCGGTTCCACGGCTTCCAGGTGGATAAGAAGGGATTCCTGTGATTCTTCTTTGTGGCCGGGTTAGACATAGGGAATGTACTCCTTTTCTATAAATTATGCTGTCAAAATTTTCTGATAGGCAGCATTTGCACACACCCCAGATGAATGACCCTTTAAATGGCCTCCGAGTCATCATAGACAGGGAAGTTCCGCTGCACCTGCTTCTACCGTCCAGTTGTTTCCTTGGGCTCACACTCTATACACAGTGCATGACCACGTCTAGTTTACACAGAGACTCAGTGTGGGACTTCCTAGAGCCTCTCCTCTGCATGCAGCCATGACTCTCTGAGCCCTACGGCACGGCAAGAGGCCCGTCACTGCATTCTAAGGGCTCCTTGTTCTCCCAGCGAGTGATCGCTTCTGACTTGATGCTTCTTCTTGTACTGTGTGTGGGTTTGCTGAAGACAACTTGGCGATAGCAAAATTCAGTGATGTCTCCGGCCGGATGTCAGTTGATCTTATAGGGAGAAGGAAATGCCACACTGTCGTTGTGTCCTCAGAAAAGTGTGTGGAACTGCTTCCTTTGGGGGCTCCATTGTGCGCGAGTACCAGGTGTTCCTCTAGAGAGCAGCCATCAGACTGCAGACAAGGGAAAGGGAATTGCTATAGGGGAAGGTGGTAAGAACGCTAAATGGGTGGGTGGGTCACAGGTGCCACACACGCCCGCATACACACACACACACACACACACACACACACACACACACACACAGAGAGAGAGAGAGAGAGAGAGAGAGAGAGAGAGAGAGAGAGAGAGAGAATGTCTGGGCCTGGCATTGGCTTTTGAAACCTGCAGCCAGTGACAAGACCACACAATTCTTAATTCTTCGCTAACAGTTCTACTAAGTGGGAAGCGAGCATTCAAGCATATGATTCTACGGAGACCATTCTCATTCAGACTACTACACCCTTGAAGGAAGCCGGTTTGCATTTGGATCTTTTTATTAACCATATAGAGGCATATGAAGGCTGTTTGGAAAAATCGGAGGGTAGCGGAGGAAAGCTAATTCACAAGATGAGAGTCAGGACTGACTCAGAGAGACCTTTCTGGAGTAGAATAACAACATAAAACCAAGGAAGCTACATTTAATGAGGATATGGGCCGAAATCCATTAACAGTTTGGTTTTTGTAATTACACGAACCAGGAATGGAAAAATGTGACTTAGTAATAGTTTGTAGGAAAGATGATTAATGGCGTGACCCATGCAGGAGCTTGTGCTTCTCTTGGGATTACCCGGGGGGGGGGGGCATGGGGAGGAGTGGGAAAATTCCAGACCTTTTAGGCAGGATGAATCCACTGAAGAAGGGTCAGCGAATTCTACCTCTTCCATTCTGCTCTTTTTGTTCATTTTTATGGTTAAGGGAATGGTTTTTACTGTAGTTATGAGAGAGAGAAAATAGCCAGAGGCAGTTATATAACAGTCATGTGGAAGAGTCCAGAGCAGAGAGAGAAAGCAGTAGACTGAACGTGGTCGGCAGACTGGACCAGGCCATGAGAGACAGCAGAGAAAGACACACACGCACATACCACGCGCGCGCGCACACACACACACACACACGCACACACACACACACACACACACACACACACACACACACACACCAGGCAGGGAGACATAGAGAGGAAGAGGAGCATAGAGAGAGGGAGAGCATGGGAGAGTGAGAGAGACAGAGAGACGGGGTGGCGTTGTTCATCATTGATCAGGGGAACTCGGGGCTCTGATAGCTTCAGATGAACTTTTTGCTCATGTGATGTAGGGCATTGGTCTCATCAAAGCAACATGTTGATACCAATCCACCCCAAGGGCCATAGACCCCTCAGTCACTTAGCAACGACCCGAAGGGGATTTCCTTATGTGTGCAAGATGTGGTGACCTTTATTAGGACACGTTTTAAGAAACATTCCTCAGGGCTGGAGAGATGGCTCAGTGGTTAAGAGCATTGCCTGCTCTTCCAAAGGTCCTGAGTTCAATTACCAGCAACCACATGGTGACTCACAACCATCTGTGATGAGGTCTGGTGTCCTCTTCTGGACAGCAGGCATACACACAGACAGAATATTGTATACATAATAAAAATAAATATATAAAAAAAAGGAAACATTCCTCAAAGGCTATGGCTGAGGTAGGCTTACGTCCAGTCAGGACGTCACCTTCCTCATGTGGGAGCGGGTGCTACATCTGCTGTTATTTCTCCTCTTCCCACAGATATGTGGAACTGACCACCTACTCTGATTATAAAGACTACAGGGAAACGATATTGAGCAAGCCTATGCTGTTCTTTACTAACGTGCAGACCAAGAAGGACACCTCCAAAGGTAGGTGTATGCATAGTCTGCATTTGGTTCGGCTTTGCTGGGCTAAGGTAGGAGCGTGGCCCAAAAAAGGGAGGGTAGTCGTCAGCCACGCCAAGGGCAACAGCGAGCAACCTGCTCTGCACAGCCATTTGGAGCGGTGTACACAAGGCTGGCTCAGCGAACCTTGAATGATGGACACCCCCTCCACACACTTCTCACTTCCTGTTTAGGAAGGAAGTGACCTGACATGGAGCCTTCAGAGGTTTGACTTCCTTTCTAGACAGGAAATGATTTGACATTCTGGTCCTGGGGTTGGAGGAATGGTCGGAGTGGTGAAACCCTCATGTATCAAATATTGTGTCTGAGGCGTGTTTTCTCATCACTAGTTGGACTAACAACCTGCAGGGCCTGTGGTCCAAATGGGGCTGCCTCAAGCATGAAAATGGGTACAGCTGATCATTTGTCTTTGAGAAAGATTTAAGGTTCTTATTTTTCAATGTATTTTGTGTAGATGGGTGGTATTTCGTCTCCACATAGATCTAGGTTCCACTTACTTGCCTGGTACCCTTGGAGGCCAGAACAGGGACTGGATCTCCTGGAACTGGGGTTACAGATGGTTGTGAGCTGCTGTGTGGGTTCAGAGATTAGAATGTAGGATCTCTGGAAAAACAACCAGTGCTCTTAACCTCCGAGCTATCTCTCCAGTCCTTAAATTTCTTTTTAAATTATGTGTGTGTCCAGACTGGTACATGTACTGTTGGACTCTAACGTCCAAACACCGAGAAGGAGTCGCCCTCAGAGACCATCTCACACACCACAGCTGATGCAAAAGCATGAGGATTTTATTAATTCTGTCATAACAGGGTCCCCCAGCATTCGGGAAGCCGAGGGACCTCGAATAGCTGGTACAGTCTACTTTTAAAGGGGCCACAGAAGCAAGGGGAGTTGTTCTTTGACTATTCTGATTGGCTTATTTGAAAGGACTATTACCAATAATTGACTGGAGAGCTGTTGCCAGATCAGATGAGGTAAGAGGTCATTTTGACCCCATTTCCCAGGGGACCTAACCAAAGCATACGTATATGGGTAATTGTTCAGGAACTGAGTATGTGCGAGTGTTGCTGTTAGGTCCTTGGTTCCCAGGGGAGGAGGGGAAGCACTATGGCACAGAGGTTGAGAGGATTCAGAATTGTCAAAAATGGCTTCAGGATTGTCTTAAAGTCTTACAGTACCTGTGTGTGTACAGTATCTTTGGGGACCAGGCGGGGGCATTGGATTTCGGGGAGCTGGAGTTACAGGCAGTTGTCACCCATCTGATGTGGGTGCTGGGAGCCAAATCCAGGTCGTCTGTAAGAGCAGTTCGTGCTTTTAGCACGGATTCATCCCTCTGTCCCACAGTTAATGATTTTCCTAGATAAAGGTATAAAATTCACTGTGGTAGGCTGCAGAGCCAGCATCCCTGTGGGGTAAATATTCTGTCCTTGTTTTAAAGATGAGGGAAACTAATATATATGTACATATACATAATCTTGAGGGTAGTTGTAGGTACTTTAGGTTTTATGTTTCTGGGTGTTCTAGGACAGTCTCCAAAGTTACAGAGAAACTTTGTTTTTATAAAAACAAACAAACAAATAAAGACCGGGTTTCACTGGTAGCCCTAGCTGTCCTGGAACTCACTCTGTAAACCAGGCTGGCCTCGAACTCACAGAGATCCACCTGCCTCTACTTTCTGAGTGCTAGGGTTAAAAATGTGTGCCACCCACCTAGCCTAAGTAATATTCCTAAAGTGAGTTCAAGGTAATAACTAGTGATGGGCTCATTTCAGGCAGACTCCATCAACCCCCCTCGGTAGCCGGAGCACTCTCTGCCCCCTCGGTTACTGGAGCACTCTCTGTTCATCATCCAGACTCAAAGTGAGAATGTTTTGTTTCCTGGAGAGGCCAGAGCACAGCCAGCGGTGACCAGCCACATGTGACTAGCCACATCCTAGTACCACGTGTGATCTGGTTTGGTGATGTCCTGGAAGCTGGCCAGGTCTCCAGGATTGTAACTCACAGATGTACAAGTGCACCCCCTGACTTGTTCCCCCCGAGAGGGATCTAAAGAAAGAATGAGAACTCTTACTTCAGCATTTTAATCAAAGTTCCAAGAGTGGCACAAGAAGGAATCTGCGAGAGGTTCAGAGAGCATGCGCAATTGCATGGTAACGTCTATGGGTAAAGACATAGGACCACAACAGCTGACCAGCTGTGAGAAAAGCGAGGGCATGAAAAAGTTCTGTAATATCAAACCCAAAAGATGGCTAAGCTTGCACGAGGATGACTGTAACTAAGGCAACATGTCAGCCCTCCTGCTATTCTAGACCACAGTTTATGCAAATTAGGAGCTCCCTGTCCTCCAGACAAGCACTGCCGTCTTCTAGAAGCCTGTCGTGGTAAACACGCAGACCGTCAGATCTGTGAATGTGCAGTGTGCCTCCTGCCCAGCTGCGGCATAGGCCAGACCTGGGCGTTTAATGAGCCTTTGTTCCGGCTTCTGAGTAGCTGTTCGCTTTATCCCTCGTCTCAAATAGCAGATAACGTGGTTTTTATCTAAAGCTCCTTTTAAAAATTCAGGAGGAGGGAAAACGTGGGTCAGAAAACTAAAAATGAGTAAGATTAGTATAAAATGCATTCCGGGCTGGAGAGATGGCTCAGCAGTTAGGAGCACTGGCTGCTCTTCCATGGGACCGGGGTTCTAGTCCCAGCACCCAGGTGGAGCTACCACCAGCTGCAACTCCAGTTCTAGGCATATGGCGTCCTCTTCTGGCCTCTGAGAGCACCAAGCATCCAAGCGGCACACAGATATACATGCAGGCAAAACACCCATATATGTAAATCGAAAGAAATAAATCTTCAAAAAGCGCATTCCTTAAAAATGTAAATGTTTGCCTTTGGCCCACAGAGTTTGCCTCTGAGATATCTCAAAGGCAATAGATATTCTCAAAACCATATAACAGCTGGTCCACGCCTAGAAGCAGAGACTGGCATGCATGCTTTGCCTTGCTTGATAAACTAATTTGGGCTTGGGTCTTGGGCTGGGAAAGAGATAATTGGTTAATAATATTTCAATTTTTTTAAATGAAGAAACAGTCTTCCCTTTGTTTATATTGTGTGTGTTGGGCAAGACTCGGGGACCAGACTCCACCTCCAAGGCCTTGGTGCTTGGGACTCTAGCCTGGAGCAATGGAGATATCTTAAGCAGTTGTTCTCAAACTTCCTAATGCTGCAACCCCTTAGTACAATTCCACACATTGTTGTGAGTCTCCAATCATAAAATTATGGCTGCTACAACTGTAGTTTTGCTGCTGTTATGAATCATGATGTAACTATTTGATATGTAGAATATCTGATATCCGACCCCTGTGGGGGTCGTACCCCACAGGTTGAGAACTTCTGGCTTACCAGCTTAGGGAGCCTAAATTCCATCCTGGAGACCACAATGTGGAGGCGAGAACCCACTGGAGCAAGCTGTCCCTTGCCTTCTGTGTGTGCACGCGCATAAACACACACACACAATCAATAAACGAATGTAAAAAAAATTGCAGAAAGAACCTTTTCCACACTGGAGACACACCATGGAGGGGAAGTTCTCATGGAAGGAGCTTTCAATTTCCAAGCTGAAGCCCAAGCCTGCGTTCACAGTAGCCCAGAGCGTCGTTCACATTGATAAGGTTCTGGGGAACATTGCTAGAAGTCTAGCTGGACACCCAAGGAAGATGTGGGGAAAGAGAACAGATGCATAAAATCTTCCGAAGTGGCTCCGGGCATGCTTCTGCTAACTGGAAGAAGCATGTTCGGGTCACAGAGATGCTTTTTCTGACTTCTGCTTGCCTCTTCTAGAAAGGACCTATGCATTTCTTGTGAACACAAGGCACCCCAAGATAAGGAGGCAGATAGAGCAAGGGATGGACATGGCCATTTCCTCAGTGATCGGAGAAAGCTACCGACTTCAGGTGAGCTGGGCTTTCGGCAGGAGGGCTGCCTCTCCACAAAGCGACCAGCGGCCCTTGCTGGTGGACTGCCTTCTCAGAGCACAAGGCTGCAGACATTCTGTAATGTCCATGTGTTTTTTTGTTTTGTTTTGTTTTTTTTAAATATTTATTTATTTATTTATTTATTTAGTATACAATGTTCTGTCTGTGTGTATCCCTGCAGGCCAGGAGAGGGCACCAGACCTCATTACAGATGGTTGTAAGCCACCATGTGGTTGCAGGCAATGCTCTTAACCACTGAGCCACCTCTTCAGCCCCATCCATGTGGTTATGTACGCATGTCATTTAACTCTTCTCTCTCTCTCCTTTTCTCTCTCTCTCTCTCTCTCTCTCTCTCTCTCTCTCTCTCAGTTTGATTTCCAGGAAGTCGTGCAGAATTTTTTTCCTCCAGGTACTGAAGTGCTGAATGGGCAGAACTTGAACTTCGCCTACGAATTCAAGGCGGACGCCCTGTTTGATTTCCTTTACTGGTTTGGGCTCAGCAATTCCACCGTAAAAGTGCGTGGGAAGGTTCTGAACTTGACGAGCATGAACCCCGAAAAGAAAGAAACAATTAAGTTATTTCTGGAAAAAATGAGCGAACCTCTAATCCGAAGGAGTAGTTTCTCTGACCGGAAGTTCAGTGTCACGTCTAGAGGTATGTCACACACTCTCAGGGGGTGGGAAAGGTGGCTAGTTCAAAGGGTGGAGCCCGGATCGTGAGCCAAGTGGCCACTAACAGAAATGCCAGAGGTCTGCCTCCATCCAAAGAGAACGATGATACCTGGGCACACAGCTTTAATCCCAGCGCTCTGGGAGCTCAGTGCCAGCCTGGACTACATAGCTGGACCAGATCAGCACCTGCTACCTGCAACTTGGGGAGGAAGGAATAAGAGGTGCTTGTTAGCCTAAATGAGAAGCAGGGCACAGTGGTGTGTACCTGTCTACCAGCTCAATATGATGGTGAGACAGGAGGATGACTTGAGCCCAGGAGTTTGAGGCTAGCCTAGGCAACATGGGGGGAAGGGATCCTGTTTCAGACAAAAAGAAAAGAGGAGAAATGGACAAAGAAAGCAAAAGGGAAGGAAGAGGCAGTGCGTTTTCTGACATCGGTTATCTGATGCAGCAAGTGCAGAATGCTAATTTAAATGAAAAACTGTTGATTTAAGTATCGGTGCTCACTTCAGCACATGGTTCGACTATTTTGGAAAGAGTGCCGCCTCCCCCCATTTCATCTGTGTGCACTCCCGGTAACAGAGCCATCGGCCAGCGTGCAGGCTCCGTGGCCGTGGTCTCTGTCTCAACGGTGTGTTCCGAAGGGCTCTCAGATACTACAAGAATAACTCCTGGGAAGGTTTCGTTCACCAACCCAACATGACATATGGCGGGTTCTTGCTTTTGAAATGCGCCTAGCTCAGGCAGATGGCGCCTTCCTCTGTGAGACACTCTCTGAGGGATAGCTAGCCTGGGCCCCAGAGCGCTTCCAGAATCAGGCGGGTGTTTGCAGCAACCTGGGCCCAGGGCCCTGCAGTGCTCTGCAACGGAGATGTCAACAGTCTAGATTGATTGTATTTAACGGCAGTTCTTTCTTCCTCTGTGTACAGCGGAAGTCCTTACTCAGGGGCTTCTTATCCTGGAAATTGTCTGTCTCTCTCCCTCTTCCCTCTCTCCCCCTCCCTCCCGCCCTCTGTCTCCATCCAAGTCCCACTCTTTCCCTCTTTCTCTTGTCTTTCTTTCTCTCGATCTCTGTTCCCCTCCCCCCATTTCAGCTTCTGTCTGTTTCATCCCCCCATCCCCATCCCCAATCCATCTTGTCTTAGCTTTATCTCTCTGCCAGTGCTTTCTCCGTCACGTTACAATCCACAGCTTTGTGGGTGGTCTCGCCTTGCTTTGGCTGTGCCAACTTTGCCTGGGCCTTAGTCTCACCCACTGGCCCCAGCATCCTGGGCAGCATGCCTGCGTCACTGTGGCTCAGCCTCTGTCCCTGTGTAGGGTTTCCCCTAGGGCACATGGGGTATGAAAGTGTCGCGCTTCCTAGAAAGTTTCCCCCGAGCCAGGCCTAGGGCCTCCTCAGCCCGAGAGCAATGGAGAGGACTTGCCTGGGAGTTGGCACTGCTCATGGCACAGCTACGGCACACCTGTCGCACTGGCAGGCTGCCGAGCCTGGCACCCAGCTCTCAGACTGACTGGCAGCCCACCAAGGTTGGCAGTCTGTTCTGTTGGTATCAGAAGCTGACCTCTAGCTGGGAATGCAACTCAGTAGTAGAGGGCTTGTTTTCATCTTCCACCAGAATCTGACCCCTGACCCCTGACCTCTGACCTCTGTCCTAAGCATCTGTTTCCCAGCACCTGCTGTTTACTCCCAAATCTCCAGCCCTCTGGAAAGCAAGTAGTAGTCATAGCAATGGTGTCAATCAACATTTTTTTTTCTTTCTGATGAAGCCTCACTATGTAGCCTTGGTTAGTCTGAGACTCGCTCTGTAGACCAGGCTGGTCATGAACTCACAGAGATCCACCAGCTTCAGCCTCCTGAGAGCTGGGATTAAAGGCACGTGCCATCACACCCAGCCAGCAGAACTAGCCCTGATGAGAGAAAATCAGCACATTTTTGTTTAGCTCTTTGAGTGCCCCCGCGGAAGCCAGGACTCATTACTGAAGTGGCTATTTTGGATGGGTTTTGATGGCCCTTTCTCTTCCTGTCGTGATGTCATAATGAGCACCTTCTTTACTGTGTTTTAGGTTCAATCGATGACGTTTTTAACTGCAACCTGTCACCCAGATCATCGGTTACAGAGCCACTTTTGGCAGGATTATCATTTCCAAGTGTTCTGGAATCTGAAGAGACATCCAGCCAGTTCATCTGATTGGTCTGAAGATTCTAGCTGCCGCCCTTTGACGGCGGCCCTGAAGCAGACAGTGGGTTGAAGGGGTAAGAGGAGAGAGGAAGTGGGCACTTCCATCCCTTTGCCAGCCCCTGGGTCCTCCAAGATCCTGTAAAGGCCCTTTCCCCCATTTCCCTGGGCATGGTGCCCTGGCTGGCCCAGTGCACACGCCTTCCCTCAGGGTTATGATTATGGGATGGAAGGGTTCTGTCCCTATGGCACATGGTGCCATTGACGTTGAACATCTGAAGACTCTGAGGGATTCTCAGGGGACTGCCGCCCTGAACTCTCTGGGAGGCACCTGACTGGGACCTTAACCCTGGTGCTTCAGTGGATCACGGATGCCCTCTGCTTGGAACTCACTTTTAGGCTCAGTGCCCAGCAGGCCTGGGGTAAGCTCTTCTCTTGCAAGTGTGTTAGGCAAGGCTGGTACCATATTTCACTTGGAGACAAGTATGGTTTTTATTCCGCCCATGGGAAACCTCGAGGACATTCAAGATCCTGGCTGCTGGTGGATCTGCAGGGTGCCAGGATGAACCCTGCCAGGATGTAAAGCCAGGTGGCACAGCAATCCACCCGTGACAAGACCGTGTCCCCTTCCCTGCAGGCACACCAAGCGAGTTGGCGTTTGAAATATGCTTTTAGCAGTCTTAACGCGAAAAGGAAAGTAAGCCATTACCAAAGTGGATGGAACAGCAGTGCACGTCCCGCCTTACAGCTAAAATGGGGTTCACTGAGAGGAAAGATATTATCCAGTCTATGTGTATATGAGTGGCCAGGCGTGGGACACACCTGCAATCCCAGCACTTGGGAGCTGGAGGCAGGAGAATCAGGAGTTCGATCATCCTGGCTGCACAGGCAGCTCCAGGCCTATCTGGGCTATCTATACAGACGATTCTGTCCCATGAAAACAACAAAAGCTTTGCAAATAGTCGCAGGAAGCCAGATGTGTGGACCCTGAGTATCGTTTTTCTCTGCCCGTTAATAACATTCCCGTGCTCCGTATTTTGATAACACTACTTGCTGATGGCCTGATGTTTGTAACTGAAATGCTATCTAGTGCATACGCACAATTAAAACTTTCCTTGGCGCTCAAGCTGCAAGTGATTAAATTTGTGGTCGAAAGGGTATGGGGTGGGCCCCTTGAGGTCTGTAGGTGGTGGATTTTCTTTGTAGTGCACTAGACGTCAGCACAGGTATGGTTTTCAGAGTTACTTCCTCAAGGAGACACTTCAAGAGTGAGGCCAGGAGTATTTAGAGAGAGAAGATGAAGTTTGTATGGAGAGAAGAGGAGCGAAGTGCTTCATGGGAGGGTAAATACGCTATTAGATTCAGGAAAAAGAAAAATAATAAAAAGTTGGAACCAGTTCTCCACCCGTGGAAACAAACCACTGGTGCATGGTGAGAATTAACCTTTCTCCCCAGGAAATAAAAGCTCCATTCATAAGACTGACAATTTGCTTTTGAAACTGAGCTGAGAAAATAGTAACATCCGCAGAAAGGGACTGGAGATCTGGGACGTTAATCTCGTAGTTCAGATTTCTCAGTTGACTCTGAAGTCGCTAACTCCATTGTTCACCCAACTGAGTTTTATCAGTTGCCTGTCCCAAAATGCACAGTGATAGTGTATTTTATTGGCAATTATTTCAGAGAAGTAAGATTGGCAAATCTATAACTTGGTGGTAGCTCCTCCTGGGTGAAGGAAGCCTCGAACCGGGCACACGTGCGGCCTGATGTGGACCAATAGCATGGAAGGCTAGGAAAAATCTGTGGCCTGCTCCCACCAAAGCTCATGCTGAAATGGGATCCTCAGAGTCCTCTGTTCCTGCATTTATATCAGCACTTGCTGGCTACACATAACAATGTGTTTTACGATAATTTCATGCATGTCCATAATGTGTTTTGATCACGTTCAAATACCCCAACTTGCTCTTCGGCTAATTTCCTCCCCAGCTTCCACTTTTACTTCCATGACTGTTTTCTGGAAATTTCTGTCTTAGGACAGTGATTAGTTTAGGGCTCCTTAGCTGCCACAGCCTCAGGAAGTTTCAAGGCTCGTGATGGTCAGTCAGTTCCATGTGTCAGCATGACTGGACCAAGGAGCCTAGATTTGGTGAGGCATCATTCTGGATGTTTCCGTGAGAGATGAAGTTAACCTTAAATTAATGACCTCTGAGTAAGGCCAGAAGTCCTCTCTAATGTGGATGGATCTCACTTAATCAAAGATTCCTCCCCTGCAAGAGGGACTCTGCCAGTGCTGACGGCCTTTGGATGACAGTGCAGACGCTTTGCTGAGTCTCCACCTACTGGTCCACCCTAGATGGTGCATCTAAGGATGCCCAACCCTTAATTTCAGGCTAGCCTGGGATATATGAGTCTTGTCTAAAACAAGAAAATACCCAAGGGACGGGGGAGAGGCACACACACACACACACACACACACACACACACACACAGAGAGAGAGAGAGAGAGAGAGAGAGAGAGAGAGAGAGAGAGAGAGAGAGAGACAGGGAGAAGAACATAGAGGGAGAGCATGGGAGAGTGTGAGAGAGGGACAGAGGGTTGGGGGGACTCGTCTTCATTATTAATCCAGGGGGATTTAGGGCTTTGATAGCTTCAGATGAACTTTTTGCCCACATGAGAAACACAGAGAGAGAGACAGAGAGACAAAGAGAGAGAGAGAGAGAGAATGAATATGAGTTTTCCTGCTTATTACTTTCTAGACTCCTAACACAGAATGAATCCACAAATCGAGACAATGTCTTAGTTCACCAATCAGCTAAAAAGAACACAGTGTGCTTTTCACACACTCCTTGATGCAAATAACACACGCTCCATGGTAGTAGTGTCTTGCCTACATCAAAAAACAAGGCAGAGTAGCTCACTCAGTTTCTGTCGTGGTTAATATAGATTGTCAGTCTCATAGGGTCTAGAGTCACCTAGGAGACACCTTTCCTCTTGCTTGGGAAAGTTTAGCTAGTTAATCTAGTTAATTAAGACAGGAAGCCTCACCCCCCCACCCCCCATGGTTTGGGACCCTGGACTGCACAGAAGGAAGGTTAGCTGAGTACAGACACTCATTGCGCTCAGCTTGCGACCTCACATGCAAATGGACCCAGCAGCTGTCTCTTGATTTCCCTGCCATGATGGACAGTCAGTCAAAGTAGACCCCCCCCCCCCACTTCCTTCAGCTGCATTTGTCAGGGGCTTCAATACAGAAATAGGAAAAGTAGCTCAGACGATACCTTTGTGCTTAGAGTGGCAGGGGCATGACTGTGAACCGGCTTGACCGGCTCTGGTTTCTTCTGGGCTGCTGGAGAAGCCACCCTGGGGCTCTTCTTCACCCTTGACTAATTCTCTCGGAACTTTCCCACCACTTCTTTCTTCCTCCCAGTCAGGAAGTGAACTCACAATCTGCTCTGTATTTCTAGAGTGTGGGTCAGTGTGTGTGTGCATGCGTGCGTGCGTGTGTGAACTTGACACAGGCTATGGTCATTTGGGAAGAAGGAACTTCAACTGAGGAAATTTCTCCGTCAGATTGGCATAGGGGCATTCTACTGATTAATGATTGGTGTGGGAAGGTCCAGCCCACCGTGGGCGGTACCAACCCTGAGCAGGTGGGCCTGGGTTATACAATGAAGCAGGCTGAGTAAGCCCTGGGGAATGGCATTCTTTTACAGTTCCTTCCTCTAGGTTCCTGCCCTGGTGGGCTGTGATGTGGAACTGTAAGATGAACTAAACCTTTTCCTCTCCAGATTGCTTTTGGTAATGGTGACAAAACAGACTAGGACCCTGTAAAACTCAGACTCAGAGGCCTCTCTCCAGCAGGCCCCTGTCTCTTTCTGGGCTCCTCTGCTCTCCTGAAGCTCCGAGCTCACGCCCTGATCCTTACTTTTGACCTACAAACTTGGCCAGGTCTCTCTCCTCTTAAGTAATAGTGTCACCTGACTACCATTGGCCTGCGGAGCCGGTTCACAGCTTTCAATAATGCTATCGGTTAACAATAAAGTCACAAGCTATGTAAAGTTTTATTTTTTACTGGTATATATCAAAAAGTTCTGATTTCCTTTGCTGGCCAGCTCTTGGCAATCACCAGTTCTTTTATTCTGATCTTAATAACTAACATTAACTCAGATTATACATAACACTTCGCACAATATATGTAGGCTATAGAATATATGTGTGCGTGAGTATACATGTATGTGTAGGTTATAGAATATATGTGTGTGAGAGAGTATACATGTAAGTGTAGTTATAGAATATGTGTGTATGAGAGAGTATACATGTATATGTAGGTTATAAAATATGTGTGTGTGAGAGAGTATACATGTATGTGTAGTTATAGAATATATGTGTGTGAGAGAGAGTATACATGTATGTGTAGTTATAGAATATATGTGTGTGTGAGAGAGTATACATGTAAGTATAGTTATAGAATATATGTGTGTGTGTGAGTGTATACACATATATGTAGGTATATAGAAAGATATAAGAGAGATCACAGACTTCAAAGAGCCCTTACTGAGCCGGGCGGTGGTGGCGCACGCCTTTAATCCCAGCACTTGGGAGGCAGAGGCAGGCGGATCTCTGTGAGTTCGAGACCAGCCTGATCTACAAGAGCTAGTTCCAGGACAGGCTCCAAAACCACAGAGAAACCCTGTCTCAGAAAAAAAAACAAAAAAAACAAAGAGCCCTTACTGGAAGTAGAGGCAGAGGCAGTAGAAAGGTAGAGAAAGCCACTGCAGACGATTAGACACTTATGAACCCAGCTAGAGGTGTATGAAGATGATCAGAGTAGAGCCACAAGATCACAGAGTCCAGCAGAATCAAGGTCACTGGATGGACAGGGCAATGGACAGAGGACCATGATTTCGGTAGCCCGGGAAGGCAGGTAGTGGGACTCGGTGACGTGCTGAAGCCCTGAGGACAATCAGGAGTTTGGTATGCATTGGGGGATGAGATGTGTGCACTGGGGATGAGATGACAGGCTAGTGGGACCACTGTCGTCCATTGCAGGGCATCCTTCTTTATCTGTGGCTCAGGTGAGAGCATGTTATCCTTTGTTGGCCTAGTCTGTTTGATGCGCTCTTCAGCCTGGTTTTTCTGATGTGGTTTTAGTGGGTCCCTGTCCCCACTCTACTTGGTAAGTCTGTAGTGGGCACGTTTAGGTGTGAGTCATTCATCAGTACCTCCTAGGGAGTGCTGCACAGCTCCTGGGGTTCACAGCGGGAATGAGGTGCACACTCATTCTGCCTCGGGATCTGTGCCTTCAGGGAAGCTAAATGCTGCTTGTAAAATGGGGAAAGCGCAGCCTGAATGTTTCCTAATGTAGGAAGTCATCTAGAGCCAGGAGCAGCCTGCCTCTCCTTTAACCTGCTCCCTCCCTCCCTCCCCGCTGGAGATTTACAGCTTGACAGCTGTGATTGCTGTCTGCTCACTTTTACCACCCATTGTCTTTACCGCTTCACACTGTGTGTGCAGAAAGAGAGATTTATTACGGTGACGTTTGTTGGAAACAATGAATTAACTATTTTTTTTTCAATGTAATTTCTTTACCGATTCTTTGGGAGTTTCACATCATGCACCCCAATTTTGCTCACCTCCTGGTTCTCCCCCCCCTCACCCCTGCTGTGCCCTTCACCCCACGAAATAAAATTTTTAGGAAAACTCAAAGCAAAGCAAACAAGCAAGCAAAAACAAGAATAAAATAAACCAAAAAAGAAACTCTTTGTTTCTCCCTCTCTCCCGCCTTTCCAACACTTTTCATCTGTCTTGGTGGCGCTGGAATCCTCGCGAGCCGTATCATAGACCCTCTTGTCCAATCAGCTTTACTAGCAAATGTTCACTGCAGTGAGTCACTGCTCTGGTCCGAGGCCTCTGGTTTCTGGCACACCGTCATCCTCAGGTCCTCACCGGAACTTCTCTGGGGTATCCTGAGGAGGCCCAGAGTCATAGAAATCCTGCGGGCATTGTTCCCCAGGACCAATCCCTTCACACGCGCTGGCAGGTCCTAGATGGGGTAGATGTGAGGGTGGGCCAACCCAAGGCCTGGCTGTGGGCCTGAGTGGTAGCTGAGCAGGTCAGTCTGGGTCCCTGGGGCCACCCGCCTCAGGTGAGGGGGCTGGCATTAGCTCCCCTATGCCCATACCCTCAGGGTCGGCTCACCCCGCCTGTGGGGTGGGTTGGGGCCATCTCTTCCAAGTACAGAGGCCCACTCTCCCATGAGGGTCAGCTCTCTTGCTAGAATGTTTAGTGAGAGACAAGGCTAGCTTTTCTTGGACAGAAGAAGCGCTGAGCCAGCTCAGCATGGTTCCTATGGGCCCGAGGTGACACAATCCTCAACATCAACACAGACACCAGCTACAGCTTGACCATGGACCCAGACATGGTCCTTGGCAGCAACGTGGGCCTGGACAACATCCTGACTTTGGGTGGAAGCGCAAACAGACCATCCTGACTCGGGTTGGGATGATTTTGATAGTAACGTGGTCCCTGGACACTATTGAGGCCTCACGTTGTGGCCCTAACCCTGGGCTTCTATGTGACCTTTGGTGGCAATACGGGACTTGACTTAGTGCAGACCCTGGCTGCAGTAGGACTATGAACCCAGGCTCCAGGTGGATGCCCCGCCCACCCATTTCAGGATGGCTCTGGCCACAGCATGGGCCCTGGACACCATCAAG